GTGGGCGGGCGGGGCGCGCTAGCCCCCCCCCCCCGCCACAGGTACCAGCACCCGCTCCGGCGCAGCCCTTCCCTCTCTGGCTCGGAGTCGCTGGACACCTCCTTGTTGACAGCCCAAAAGGCTGCCCGCAGCTTCCCCTCGGCGCGGGGAGTGCTGGGGGGCTGCGGCTGCTACTTTACCTTGGCCTGAGCAGAGGCCTCGCTGGGGGCTGGGTGCCGCCTCCACCGGGCGTTCCGCAGCTGTGAGCACAGCCATTGCAAGTTAAGCCTTGACTTGGGCTCTCCTCCTCCTCCTCCTTCTCCTCCTTCTGCTTCAAGGATGTGGAGTGTCTGAATCGCCAGGGAGGTGACTGCGAGACTGGGATCTTTGCTGGCACCTTGAAGGGCCTCTCTGATGTACTTCCTCTCACCATCAACCACCTGCCATCCCAAGAGCCCTAGGAACCTGACGGCCTCCCGGGTTCTGCAGGTAGTGCTGGCTCTGGTGCAGGTAGTCCTTGGCCCTGCTCTTCTTCCTGGCCAGTAGGCACTCGCCGATCTTCCATACCTGCGCAGTCTTGACCAGCTGCACCAACTGCCTCCACTTCAGGAAGCAGCCAGCGCTGCAGAGGGCTTCCTGGGAGGCCTTGGCCACGCTCTTGTCCTCGTCATACAGGTGAAAGAGCAGCGGCAGCAGGCTGTCCCACACCACCTCCTTCATCTTCTTCCTTTTGGCACCCGCCACTAGCCCCATCGTGTCTCGGAAGAGATGGATGGAGAGCTGCCGCACAGTGACCGACTCGTTGTCGAAGAGCCACCGGAGGTTGTCAGCCAACACCAAGGCGATGCGGCTGGACTCCTTTCCCTCCAGGAGCTGGAGCATGTTGACAAGCACGGGCAGGACCATGTCGCCATGCTCCAGCTGCTCCATGATGACAGGCAGCAGGACAAGGGATTTCTTTGCCATGTCTGGCCTCTCGCTGAGCGTGAGGATGCCCCTGAGCACCAGTCTGGGCATCTCTGGGCACTGGCTCTTCAGATAGGTGGGGAAGATTTCCAGGGCATGGTCCAGCTCTTTGTTGATGTTGTTGCAGCCCAGCATCTCGATCAGGAAGGCTATGGTGACCATCTCCTGGATGGGGTCCTCCACCCTGAGGAACTCTGCCAGGCAGCAGAAGATGGCGGAGCACAGGTGTCTCGGGGTCTTTGTCATATCCCTTGCCACGATGCATACTCCCGAGAGGTGGGTCTTGGTGCAGAGCAGGGCATCCCAGCCACCCTGCGCCTCGACGGCCAGCACCTGCTCCTCAAAAGCCCATGCTGCAGAGCAGCAGTCTCATGGAGTACAGCAGGGAGCTCAAGGGAGTGAACGGATCGTGTTGGTCCTTGTTCCAGATGTTCACCTCCTGCAGCGTCAGCTCCCTGGTGAAAGGCACTTGGAGAAGCAGAGCCAGGAAAAGCCGGGGGAAAATCGCCTCCACCACCTGCAGGTGGGTGGGCTGCATGAGGATCTTGGTTATCATTCTGGTTGTGGCCACGGAAAGGACACGTGCGTGGTCCCAGGTGAAGGTGGAGGTCTGGCACGTCAGCGGGTCCATCAGCATGCCAAGCAGCTCCCGCAGCACCCTCTCCGCAGCCTGGGGCTGGGAGAGCATGGTCTCTCACATGGCCGTGGCGGCTCCGGTGCGCAAGGGGGAGCGCCACAGCAGACTGGCCACCACATTGCGGGGATGTCTGTCCAGCAGCATCAGCAGGGCCCTGTTGAGGCTGTTGAGGGCTCTCGTCTCGCTGATGGAGGGCAGGTTTGTGCAGATGGCCCACACGATGTTCATGACCTGCATCGGCTGGAAATCAGAGTCTGCCATGAGGACATCCACCATGTCGGCAGCTGCTGTGACAGTGTCGGTGCTGGAGGACTGCAAGTTCTTGATGACTCAGAGGGCCGGAGGCATTTGAGGAACTTGAGGA